ACTACCACTGCCAGCTACATCATCAAAACGATCGCCTAACAGTGAATGAGATGCGTCAGAAATTTTGGGTCCCTCGCGCTCCAGACTTGTCAAATCAGTCAAAAGAGAATGCCCAGTGTGCATATATAGCACCGCCAAGCCATCCGTACCGCTTATGGGACAGTTACCAGAAGACCGCCTCACGCCATATGTTCGCCCTTTTTCCTACGCTGGAGTCGACTACTGCGGCCCATTTTTTGTCGCAATTGGTCGAAGAAGAGAGAAGAGATGGGTCGCGTTATTCACGTGCCTTACAACGCGAGCGGTCCACCTGGAAGTTGCCCCGGAGCTATCAAATGACGCCTTTATATTGTGCTTTCGAAACTTCGTCAACCGTCGAGGAGTTCCAATAAGAATCCGGAGCGATAACGGCACGAACTTCGTGGGAGCACAGAAAATACTAAAAAACGATACGCAAATATTCGACTTCAGCCGTTTCGAAGGTGAAATGACACGCCGTAACATTCAGTGGATTTTCAACTGCCCTGCAAATCCTTCAGCAGGAGGCTGTTGGGAGCGCCTCATACAGTGCGTCAAGCGATTGCTACAACGCGTGTTAAAAGAAGAAGCACCGCGGTTGGATACATTTCAAAGCGTACTCATCGAGGCAGAAAATATACTAAATAGTCGTCCACTGACAGAACTAGCCATAACGTCCCAAGATGAGGAGCCATCAACACCTAACCACTTCCTGTTGGGGTGTCTCAACTCTACACAAACGCCTAGCTCAGTCGAGGAAAGAGTATGTCTTCGCAAGCAATGGCGCATAACCCAAAATCTGAAGGATAGGCTGTGGAAGAGGTGGACTATCGAGTACCTGCCCCAACTCCTGCGGCGCTCAAAATGGAGGGATGAGGCAGAGCCGCTAAAGCCGGGACAACTGGTGATTGTATGCGATCCTACTCGACCAAGAAGCCAATGGGAACGAGGAAGGGTGACCGAAGTTTTTGCCGCTAAAGATGGACAGGTCAGGAGTGCCGAAGTTCAAACGGGTTCCGGCCTGCTACGTCGACCTGCAAGTAAGCTAGCCGCTTTAACCGTAAGTGAATCCTCCAGAGAATTCACCGGGGAGTGGGATGTCAATTTACAACACTAGCCCAGCCTAATAGTCACCAAAGTTTACGGCAACCCTGTCATCATGTTTTTACTTCTTTGTATTCTTGTATTCTTACCATATTCTCGTTATGTACATTTTCCACTTTATACCAAGAACGATAGAATACACCATTTCATTCATTACACCATGACTTTATACGTTCAAATATCCCGCAATTTCTCATACTCATCGCATTTCCAATCTAAAAGCCGAAGAAGACGCTCGAACAAGAACACCAATTTTGAAACACACACAAACGAACCAACAAACACCAACAAGCAAGCAGCAATTTTGTCATCGCTCATATTTAAACCGAACAAATATACACCCTACGTTTTTATAAGATTGGAAATCGCAATAAACACTAAACTTCACATTTTAAATACAGTGTAAATTTATTTAGTCGTCGTCAACACTGTGTTTCTATTTGCTTCCACACGCGTCAACTTTAATTGAATTCAAGTCCTTGGTTCTTAAATGGGAAGCAACGAAAAGATCAAAAGAGACAAGAAAACCTGAAACGAATTGACGGTACGGAGGTATCTGTACTCTTCCCCTCTCTTCCCACCTCCTTCGCCAACGAACGAGCAGACTTGAAAGCAAGACTTGACGTGTCTGAAAGGGGACTAAGTCCGATCACTGGTTGTGGGTCCTTAAAAAACACTTGGACGATTCCCACAATCTATCTCCGATTGCTCTAAGGTACGATCTATGGAAATTCGTCATGGCAGTGACCAAGCAAGGAGACTCTGCTACAAGTGGCACAGTAAAAGAATTATATGTGCAATATGTTTTTCCTCATTTTCGCGCTATTAAAGAAGGGGTGTTGTTGTTGTAGCAGCATACAAATTCCCCAAAGACTTTTTGGGGAGTGTTGCTGGAGTGACAGTCCTTGGCCAGATATAAATCTGGGTCGTTCCGGTTACGTAGACCCGACTGTCGTGGGAACGATTAAAGAAGGGTAAAACCCCTTGCTGTATGCGATTGTAATAGCTTTTAGTTTATAAGTATTTTCATTTGTTAAGTTGATGTTCCTTTATAATTTTAACTACCGTTATCACAAACAATATATTCAATAGTAAATAATTATATGTGTAAAATGAACTATAGTTTCCAACTGCTCCAGTGCCAAAAATTTTCAACAGAAAACTACACCAATGACTATGGTTAAAACATAAACACATAAAGGGTGGTGAAAATGACATATCCCATAGTTAGCTACTAGGAACAGCGTGATTTACCGTAAAAATTGAAATGTATTTAAATCTCTCTGTCCCAAGTAAAAGTTCAGAATAAATAATAAACACATTTTTTACTGGGGATGTATATTGGCAACTGTATTTTTGTAGTTTGCGATGAAAGAAAATGTATTTCTTTTTTCTATTGTTTCTGCAGTTTTAAGTGGATTCCTGGTACCTAAAAACTTCAGACGTTTGACTTAAATTTATTTGAACAAATCGAGTAAAAGGACTGAAATTGTAAAAAAAAACAATTGCTTAGTTTTTATTTAACTTATATCAGTTAACTATGGTTCTTCATCTTCAATTCTTTCTGGTTTTGTCCATCTAAATCTGTGATTGTTGTTTCTATTTATTAATGATGCTGAAATACTAAATATTTACATATTTTGTTGGAATTATTTTTAATAGTGTATGGATAAAATTCTCGGTAAAATTCCATTATCTATATTGTAATTGNTAAATACTAAATATTTACATATTTTGTTGGAATTATTTTTAAGTGTATGGATAAAATTCTCGGTAAAATTCCATTATCTATATTGTAATTGTGTGCCTAAATCTATGATAATTTTTTAAGGAATTTCATCTCTAACATTTTTATTGCATTGACTAAGATTGGCGTCTGCGGTGCCTCCATCATTTATAAAACCCGATTTATTTTCAGTGTCTTCATCATTCTCAATGGGCAAACCAGCAAAGCGTAGCTGCTGTTCATACCGGTTAATTTTAATTTCTTGATCGGTTAGAAGTTCAAGAAGGTCGTCTTGATCCTTTTGAAGTTTTTGCAAATCATCACTAGCATTGTTAGCTCGATTTGTTTCATGTTCCAATTGCTTACGCAGAGTTTCAAGTTCCCGAGTTAAACGAATGTTTTCTGAACAATATAAATTATTTTGGATCTGTGCAGAATTAAGTGCGCTAACTGTTGCAGCTTCGCCGGTAGAGGACGGGTCATTTTGGACAGCTCCCAATTGAGCTTTAAGCAATGTATTTTGGTCGTATAATTGTGTATTAAGGTTTTCCACTTGTATTAGCTTTTGTTCTATTTCGGCATTTTTAATTTCAATTCGTTTTGCATTTTGCTGTAGAGAATTTATTTGTCCATCAAGATCTCGAATTATACTTTTGTATTTTGCTACTAGGGCCGAGGCTTCAGAGCTAAGTGTTAGCTCAGTCAATTCGATACCATCGACGTCGAAACCACTAACTACCTTTCCTATTAACGCTTCCAAACCCTTGTATAACTTACAATATTCGAAGTCTAGCAATAGATCAGCGGACGATTTTGCTCGAATTTGAGGCTGTTTGCAAGCACGGCTATAGGCTTCATGTCGTGATACTTCACTTAACTTGTTACAAAATGTCTCTTGACCGATACGCTTAATAACCAATTGGCAAATAGCATCTCGTTTTTGGTTGGCAAGAGTATTATTGTTAAATTGAATACAAAGTCCCATAAGAAAGGCGCATAATCCTTGTATTAGATACTCATTTTCATCGTGTTCATTTGCGCTAATTTGCGCAGTCAAATATGCCATTGTTCCGTTTGTACCAAGAAACATTTTGACGGCACTTGGGCAATGTGCCAGCCACATGCCCAACAACATTAAAAGTCCAACTTTACTTTGCAGCTTATAACTATCTTGTTGAAGTAAATTTGTGCACTGTTCGATTAGTGTTATAGGTTTGCCTCCACCAGGAGTGGCCAAAAGAACGCGTAAAAGCTCTTCTTTCTGTGCAACGCTATCAACTAGCGCATGCATAAGAGCCACGGCAGAAAACCAATTGGCTAACGGATCTGTTGAAAATAGCCCAACACATAGTAGTTGCCCTGTTGAATGACTACTAACTTCAGATTCAGAAGATGGCAATAGCGTTTGCACTACGGTTTGATGTCCGTCTATGTTTCGAAACAAATAGCATTGAAAACAATACAAAACGGCACATCTTAACGCTAGCATCTGTTTTTCGTTGATCATAGACATCAACAATACAACTATAGCCGGCCGAGGTGGATTGCTAGGCGCCACAACAATACTCAATTGGTCTTGATTTTCTTTCTCACCGCGAACAATTTCAGCAACAGCGTTTATCGTCTCCGTGAGTATATCAGCTGGTACTCCACTACCCATCAGAATGCTGCATAATGCATCCAGCAGGTTTGATTTTCGCATCACCTTCTGACAGGAGGACACAACTTGTTGTTGGTTACTTGGTGTAACTAACGCACGTACTACTTGCAACATGCAATGTATATTTGAAACCTTTTGCGGTGACCATCCAATTTCTTCCGTTTCCGGAGCTATGATAAACATTGGAGAAAGCCGCTGAATAAAAGAGCCTTCTTTGAAAAACTGTTGATTACTTGAATTGTTTTTTAGCAAATTTAATAATAGTATTAAGCAGTCTTCAACAACAATGCCGCCATCGGAGCACCCCTCACTTTGAATAATTTCAAAAATTTTGTCAAATGCGTTCTCAAAAGCAACAATTTTTTGAATATTTGAGTTACCTTTGGTTAACTGAATAAGTAACAGCAGGGCATCGTTTCGAATAACCTCACGGCTATCTGTTAGCAAGTCCATTAACTTGGACACACCCATTGGGCTTACCAGAATTATTTCTTGCAAGTCCCGGGTTTTGTTGGCAATTAGAGTAGTAATAAGTTGAATTGCGGCACGACGAACCCGGAAATCATATTCTTCTAAATAACCCATAACTAAGGTGACATGATCAGGTGCTTTTATGAACATTTCAGTAAACTGTTCCCCGACGTTGACCGAAACAGCTGGATTGTCAGCTTCTTCATCGAACTCTTCAGATGCTGTTATATTACACAAGGCATCTAAAGCGTAACTAATAATTTCTGAATCTTGACAATCGTGTTTAAGAATCTGAACCAATGCTGGCATTCCTTGAGCTCCGACCTCAATTCTATATTTCCTGGAAAGCGCCTTTAATGCGCGGCAGGCATCTCGTCGATCATCTAATAACGTCGAAGAAATTACACGATCAACCAATTTTTCAACAGTTTCTGCTGCACTGGGGTGCTGCCCAGGCTCGGCAGTGCCCAGTACAGTCTTAAATCCGCTTTTCAGAAACTCCATCGGCAATTTTAGATTCTAAAAATGTTCACCAATCAAAACAAATTTTCTGTTAGCACAATTGCCACGGCAAACGTCCACGTCCAATCAGGGATGCCAGACGTATAAAGTCCATACACGGACAAAAAGTGGTGGGTGAAAAATCAGTACAAAATCCGTACGTTCAAATTTGTTTGGCGAACAAAAAAATATCGTTTGTACTTAGGTGAACACAGGAATCGTACTCTTAATAACATCAAATAAAGCAACACATATCTCAACTTGTCCTATTTATTGATTGCTTCACAGACAACCTTATTATTTTTATGCCTAGAACTTTTTAACAAGCAGTGTGTTCTTAGTTTATGCACATGAACAAAACTTATCAGGTAGGTTGTCGACCCTACGCCTATGGCTTTGTTTCTTTTCTTTTCTTGCAGATAATTATCAGGAAGAACAAGAATGAGAAAATTGAAAGAATTACGCTCACAGAGAGCGAAATAAAGAAAAAGTAAAGAAACACAAAACTAGCAGAAACTAGCAAGTAATCAGCTGATCGCTGTATTTGACTTTTGAAAATATTTGGCGCGAATTTTTGTTTGTCATTTTGACAGCTGCTAGTTTCTGCTAGTAAAAAATTTTTTTTTTTAGCAGAAATTAGCAGGAGAGCCAGAAAAAAGATGAGCGTAAGAACGAGAGAGAGCTGCTAGTTTTTTTAGTTTTTTTTTNCGTACTCTTAATAACATCAAATAAAGCAACACATATCTCAACTTGTCCTATTTATTGATTGCTTCACAGACAACCTTATTATTTTTATGTCTAGAACTTTTTAACAAGCAATGTGTTCTTAGTTTATGCACATGAACAAAACTTTTCAGGTAGGTTGTCGACCCTACGCCTATGGCTTTGTTTCTTTTCTTTTCTAGCAGATAATTATCAGGAAGAACAAGAATGAGAAAATTGAAAGAATAAAGAAAAAGTAAAGAAACACAAAACAAGCAGAAACTAGCAAGTAATCAGCTGATCGCTGTATTTGACTTTTGAAAATATTTGGCGCGAATTTTTGTTTGTCATTTTGACAGCTGCTAGTTTCTGCTAGTAAAAAATTTTTTTTTTTAGCAGAAATTAGCAGGAGAGCCAGAAAAAAGATGAGCGTAAGAACGAGAGAGAGCTGCTAGTTTTTTTAGTTTTTTTTTGGGTTAAGAAACGCTTTCCTGCAGAAGGTAGTGATAATTTGTTATCTGTTAAGAAACAAAGCTATAGTAAAGCCTGATATACAGCTCAGTATCATGGTGAAATGAACTGAAGGTGGCGCATTCCCGAAACCGCTACTTTGGTTTTGCCGACTTTGACATTTATGGCAATACGTAAACAAACTTTTTGTTTAGAAAGAGCGTGTGTGAATCGGTAACAAAGTTCGCGGCAAGTAAATTTTTGACAAGTTTGAGGTGAATAAAATTTCTGTAGCCCATAGGGCTAGTGAAATTTTTGACAAATGCATAGAAAATTTTGACAATTGCAAAGATTGCTGCTGTGTGTAATTTTTCGTAAAATAAAAGGTTAAGTTGATGAACTGCAATCAATGATGNTTTTTTTTTTTTTAGCAAAAATTAGCAGGAGAGCCAGAAAAAAGATGAGCGTAAGAACGAGAGAGAGCTGCTAGTTTTTTTAGTTTTTTTTTTGGGTTAAGAAACGCTTTCCTGCAGAAGGTAGTGATAATTTGTTATAATTATCTGTTAAGAAACAAAGCTATAGTAAAGCCTGATATACAGCTCAGTATCATGGTGAAATGAACTGAAGGTGGCGCATTCCCGAAACCGCTACTTTGGTTTTGCCGACTTTGACATTTATGGCAATACGTAAACAAACTTTTTGTTTAGAAAGAGCGTGTGTGAATCGGTAACAAAGTTCGCGGCAAGTAAATTTTTGACAAGTTTGAGGTGAATAAAATTTCTGTAGCCCATAGGGCTAGTGAAATTTTTGACAAATGCATAGAAAATTTTGACAATTGCAAAGATTGCTGCTGTGTGTAATTTTTCGTAAAATAAAAGGTTAAGTTGATGAACTGCAATCAATGATGGTAGATGTTTTCTTAAAATATTAATTTCACTCAATTTGTAATAGTTTATTGCTCATAAATCTGCGGTTATGAAAAATTTACTGCTGTCAAAAAAGATTTCATTTCACACAGCAGATTGGCAAAACTGTCTCACCATAGTAAAAATATTATTCAACAGCTTTCCCCATAGAACTTTGCTACCGATTCACACACGCCCAAACAAGTGCAAACGTATTGTGTACTTTCAAGTGAAAAATCGAAGTAATTCGTGCGTTTATAAAAATGTCGTCTCGTGTGTTGAATTGCAGCAGCCGTAGGGGTAAAGCCCCCAAATTAAGTTTTTTTTTGTTTCCCCGCGACGACACCTTGGCCAGAAAGTGGGTAGAGTTCTGCCGGCAGGAGAAGCCATACAATTTAGACACCAGCGTAATATTAAACACGACATGTTAAGTTGAAAACGTTGAAATACCACAAATTACAAATTAAAATCGGAGGTATGCAAGCATCGACCACTTTCTGCAGGAAAACATGCGCTGCGACAAGATATTATCACTTTTTCGGCACCTGCAATACAAACACAAAAATTCTAAATAGTTAATTAATAAGACCTATTCTTTTGAACACATTTCAAGAGTGGTTGTATATTTTTTGTTAACGTAGTGCTTAATTTGCTATATTCAAAGATGGCTTGAGAAATTGGTGAATCGAGAAGAAAACACGTTTTCTCACTGGAAATTCACAACTGTCAACTCATTGTTCTTCGCCATATTCTTTGTTTACCCGTTGCCACAAATGTCATTCTGCGGGAATGGGCAATCTTGTATTCTATCGATCTTGGCTCAGTATAGACAGTAACCAACCTTTTTGGGTTGTTGTTGTAGTAGTCGTTGTTGTTGTAGTTATATTCACTCCTGAGCAAGAATGATAGAACACAAGATTGCGCCGTCCTGGGCGTTGACATTTGTGTACCACAAGTAAACAAAGAATAGAGCGAAAAGAAGAACGAGTTGAAACTGCCAAAGCAGTTCACTTTACAACGAAACCCGTGTTTTAATTTTGCTGAAATGTGAAAATATTGCATTTTCACCTAATCTATTAGAGAATAGTGAACATTTTAGTGCACTCCATTGCTTTACAATTGAGGCTGCTTCAGCAAACGGTTTAGTGCACTCCATTGCTTTGCAATTAAGGCTGCTGCAGAAAACTGCAGCAGCATCTCTGCGGGATTGATTAGTTAACTTGCTAATGGAAGCTGCGTGGAGCAGAAACAAAATCCTTGTGAGGAAATGCTGTTATATAATAATAGAGAAACATTTCGGGAACGGCTTTGCCGTGCCCTATGTACACAAAATGCAGCGATTCGTCTCAGCGCTACACTTGCATCTACGCTTCTTGCATCTTGACGGCTGTCGCAATATAACACACAGCACTTCATTGAACTAGTTTTTAAGCAGTCTTCAACTAAAAAATCACTCGCAAATTGCAAATTAACACAATTTAAACTGATTTTTCACTTATAATTCAAATTTCCCCTTAGCTGATTTGTAAACAAAGGTTTATTTACAAGTTACCACAACTGTCAAAATCGGCAAAACCAAAGTAGCGGTACCACTGACGGCGCCACCTTTGTTCGCTGCACCGTGACTCCTGAGGAAGGCACGGGGTTGTGTGCTGCTATTTAATGGCCTTCCTCAGACTTTTTCCTAGATTTCAGGGTTGTGTGCTGCATTATTATTAGATGAATAATGGGTAGATTATCGATAGCAATCGAACTTCAGTTGCGTTGCTAGTTGCCAAAACGATATTACAGATGGCAACTGGCAACTTTCAACTGACAACTGCAGTTGCTACATAATGTGTATACAGGCGACTACATTTTAGTGGTTGCTGGGAATGTTTTTGGAGCGTATTTAGGAGCGAAAATTGAAAAGTGTGTCATATATTTAATAATTTGAACGATATTAACCTTTTGCAATGCAGTTTGCTTTTACAGAATATGGTGAAAATAATAAACCAATATCTTGAAATTTTAGTTCCCCTGGACAACGCCCTTTCGGCGAAACAAAAGGGAACACTGATTGCAATTTTTTTCCTTTATCAATTGAATCACCTCTTTTAAAACTACCGACACACCCAGTTTTCCAAATTAAAATCATTGCTGTGGCACTTCCTTTTGCGAAAAATCGAAGATGTGCGCAAGCTTTTATGAGCGGAGGTATTGAAGTTGAACGAAGTGGTTCATCTGTTTATTAACCAATTATACTACAGCTTCTTTTGGAAGTCCTCAATATGCTTTGAAAATGAACACAAAACGATAACAAAAGAANGGACAACGCCCTTTCGGCGAAACAAAAGCGAACACTGATTGCAATTTTTTTCCTTTATCAATTGAATCACCTCTTTTAAAACTACCGACACACCCAGTTTTCCAAATTCAAGTCATTGCTGTGGCACTTCCTTCTGCGAAAAATCGAAGATGTGCGCAAGCTTTTATGAGCGGAGGTATTGAAGTTGAACGAAGTGGTTCATCTGTTTATTAACCAATTATACTACAGCTTCTCTTGGAATTCCTCAATAAGCTTGGAAAATGAACACAAAACGATAACAAAAGAAACCATTAACTTTTGCTTACAGTACACGCGGTAGCTCTAGAGGATTGGAATTATCCTTTAAGTGTCGCCTGATTGAGGACGCGTTCATGCATTTCTCTTCCTCCTAAACAAATAATTGTGATAAAGTTAGCTTTATTTCTGTCTTTTCTTTATAACACTTTATTTTAATAATTTAATTTTACTCGCACAGCTTGTTTGCAGCCGCTCGCTGGTTGTTGAACTGTCAAATTTCGATTATCGATAACTCTACAGCAACTGACGATAGTTGCCATTCGTAATACAAATTTTCTTTCCAGTTGCATTGCCAGCTGACAACCGAAGCGTGGTTGTGTTGCCATCCGTAATCGACCCATAAATTTAAGCATTTGACAAATGGTGATTTTATTAAAAGAAAATTATAATTGGTGTTGAAAAACCAAGCAAACGCTCGTGCGAAA